CATTTCTTAAGATAGACCCTTAAGTTATTGGTTTTAGATCTGTCTTCAGTATTGGAATCTAAAGCTACGCAGTTTCCCTGAACTATGGCTTATACTATATCCCATATGTTCTCTCATACTTATTTTTATTTTACTCAATCATAAATGTTTTCTGGCTTCCTTGTGATTTCCTTTTTGACCCTTAGATTAGTTTCTAAGTATTTGTGGATTTCTGAAATGTTGTTGCTAGTTTAATTCTGAATTCTAGCTTAATTTAGAATTGTTGTATGAGTGTATATAGTGTAGGCTTTTAGTCCTTTAAAATTGATGAGTCTTTTGGCTTAGCATATGATTTATGCTGAAGGATATTCTGTGTGCACTAGAAAAGTACATATATCCTGCTGTTGGGTAAAGTGTTCTATAAATGAATGAGGTCAAGTTAGTTGACAGTGTTACTCAAGCTTGCTATATCCTTCCTGTTTATCTGTCCAGTTTTATCCATTATTAAGAAGTATTAATGTGCATTATTGTTGAATTTTCTATCTCTTTCCTCACTATTGTCAAGTGTCATTTTGGTTTATTCGCTTCATGTACTTTAGTGGTAGCATTAGTTAAGTATATGTTTATATACCCTTTTATCATTGTAAAATGTCCTACATGTCTGAATAACTTTTTTGCCCAGAAGTCTTTTTGGTCTGGTATTAGTGTTATTATTCCGGCTGTATGGTTACTGTTTGCATGGTATATCTTTTTTCAGCCTTTTACTTTTAATCTATTTGTATCTTTGAATATAAAATGTGTTTCTTTACTTAAATATGTTTTATTCAGTTTGATGATTTCTAGTAATTGCACTATATAGTCACTTTACATTTAATATAATAGTTTATATGATTGAATTTATATGTGTTACCTTGCTATCTCTTTTCCATTTATGTCTTTTTTTATTCCTCTGTCTCTCCGATACTGAAATATTGTCTACTGTTGTCTACCATTTTTATCTTTGTCACTTTTTAGTACTTTCTTATTATATATAATACATCTAAATTCATCATAATCTACTTTAATAATTAATCCCACCTTAATATAGAAACTTCTCCAAAATTTTCCCATTTACTCCATCCTTGGTGCCATAATTATTGTAAATGTTACATCTTTATATGTAATAAACACAACAATAGTTATATATTTGCATTTATGTAAAATAACAGAAGGAGAAGAGAATAATGAATATTTTCAATTGTCTTTTACATTTGCCTATGCCATTGCCTATTTTGTTTTCTATCTCTGTGTGGTTTTGAGTTGCCATAATGTATGTCAACCTGAAAGACTATTTCCTTTCTTTCTTTCTTTCTTTTTCTTTCTTTCTTTCTTTCTTTCTTTCTTTCTTTCTTTCTTTCTTTCTTCCTTCCTTCCTTCCTTCCTTCCTTCCTTCCTTCCTTCCTTCTTCCTGTTTTCTTTCTTCTGTGTGTGTGTGTATGTGTGTGTGTGTGTGTGTGTGTGTGTGTTTCTGGGTACTCTACTACTAAGCTACAATCCCAGGCTTTTTTTATTTTTTATTTTGAGACAGGGGCCCACTAAGTTGCCCTGAATGGCTTCAAATTTGTGATCTTCCTGCATCAGCTTCCTTCACTGCTAGAACTACTGGCAAGTGCCACTGTATTACTCTTCTGCTTTCTTATACAGCAGATTTGTTTACCATGAAATTTCTCTTCTCTGGAATGTAAATTTTGCTCTCTGTTTTGAAGGATAGGTTACTACATATAGAATTCTTGGTTAATAGGGTTCTGTTTGCTTATACATTTTTATTTTCTTTCAGCATTTTAAATATGTTATCTCATTGTCTTCTGGCTTCCATAGTTTTCAATAAAAACACAATTACCAATCTCAGTTGTCCTGTATATGATGTCATTTTAGTTTAAGAATTTCCATTGTATTTTTATAGTTCATTTACTTGTATTTTTATTTAATTAATCAGTAACATTTTACCTTAATTCTTTATTACTTTTATTTCTTTGAACATTTTTATAATAGTTTTGATGTTTGTCTGCCAGATGGAGCATTCAGTTCTCATAATAGTTTCTATTTCCTTTTTTTTCTTCCCTGTATATGGGTTATGTTTTCTTATTTTTTTTGTGTATAACATAATTGTATTTTTGTTGTTAGAATAATATATTTTATATACTATGCTGGAGAAATCCTGTAATCTTAATTCTTTACCCCATGGCTATTTTTTTTTTATTTTAAAGAGAATTTAAGAACCAATAAAAATGATACAGAATTTCAAAAACAAGATGATAGGAAATTAACAATGGTTATTATATTGCATATTGTTATCTTCAAAGTAGTTGAGTAAATTACCAGGTACAGGCATGGAAAATTGATCAAACACTATAAGCACTAACTGTTCTTTACAATGAGCTAACAGAAATTATTAGTACAATTACCTTAGTTATCTTGTGTGTAAATATAGATATAGATGATTAGATAGAGATAGAGACAGAGATACATATTTTCTTTCTATCTTTCTCTTTCCCCCATCCTAGTTGTTCTTTCCTCTTTTTTAAATTTATTTTAAAAAAATACTACAAAAGAAAGGGAAAGAAACTGCTCAAAAGGAAAGAACATTAGAGAATATGAGAACATTAGAGAATATGTATTGTCTCTAATGTTCTTTCCTTTTGAGCAGTTTCTCTCCCTTTCACAATATCTACTGTACCTTTTTTGTGTATCCTTTGTATCTCATTTACTCTTTCAGTTTCTTACACTAGAAAGACAAAATGTTTACAAGTGAGTCTGATTTATTTCCCTTCTGAGTGTGGTCTCTAGTTGCATCCATTTACCTATAAAAGCCTCGAGTTTATCTTTCTTTATAGCCGAGTAGTACGTCATTGTATAAAAATACCACATCTTTGTTATCCATTCCTTGGTTGATAGGCATTTAGCTTGTTTCTAAGATTTAGCTATTACAAATTATTGCTTATCTATTTGTTTAGAAATTTACCTGAGCTAATTCTGTAGAGCCTGTCTCTGTTAGAGCAAGTGGCTACTGGTATCACTAAAATTTTTAAAAATGTTTTAATTATTTAAAAAATTTTAAGTTTGAGCCTCCTAGCAGTGGCCTATGAGTCAAGATAGCTATTAATTAATAGTGAACAAAGGTTGATCAAATGTTGTGCTTGATTACTTTGAACTAGTAAGGCTTCCATATGTTGCTAGCAGATCTGTAGACATGTGGACGGATATATTCAACATTTAGGCAGTTTACAGTTCTGACTAGGTTTTACCTTCTAACATACTATATGTGAGTCCTACGTTTCATCTTCATGTGTTAATGAGTGGATAGCTAGCACACTTTCCAGTCTTTCCTGAGTGGGCACAGTCTTTTCAGTTGAAGGGGTTTATTTTAGATTATCAAGGCTCACCATGGCTGCTTTATTCCCCAAATCTCCCTTTAAATTCTTGTAAGTCTTCTGGTCTGTGTTTCGTCCCTATCGTTATTACAGCATGAAGCTGAGATGTTGGCCTTCCTAGGGCATGTGCTCTGTTTCAAATCTAGCTAGCCACTTGCTGCAGTAGAATTTCTGGAACTGTTTGTTTGTTTGTGGTATTAAGGATTGGTTGAAATCAAGACCTTCACATTGACTATACGCCTGCCCCTCCCCCTTTTCTGAGACAGTTTCTCACTAAGTTGTTAAGTCATGCAGGCTGGGTTCAAACTTCAGCTCCTCTTGCCTTAGTCTCTGAGAGTGCTATGATTACAGGTGTGAGCCACCATACCTGGATAGAAGTGCTGGTTTTTAGGACTTCCTATGGTCTTTTTGAAATGAAACTGGATGTCTTATTTACTTTTCTGGTTGCTGAAACAAAATGCTTGACACCTAAAGTTAGAGGAAAAGTTTATTATAGCTAATGGTTTGTAGAGGTGTCAGTTCATAGCTGGCTGGCTCCAAGGCAGGGTGGCTTGGCAGAGGGTCATCACAGAACAAGCGAGCAGAGGTAGCAAAGCAGATAAGTAGCAAGTGACAAGGAGCAAGTAACAAGTAACCTTCTTTCAGTCTCATATTTTAACACTCACACCTTTAATCCTAGCATAGCACCTCAGATTGATCACAACATCACATCTTTGATCCCACAAGCACACACCCCCGAGATCCAGCTACCTCCAAAATCCCTCATGTCGGACAGCATGAGGCTTTGGGGGCACATGTAAACATAAGCCACAACACTGAGTAAGAGAATTTTGGTGAAAGTTATTTTGTTCAGCTACTTAGTTATTAATGAGCATTGAGGGTTTTTTTTTTTGTAAAATTATGGACTTTATAAAGATTTCCCTTCTTATCATTTATATTAGTTTCTTAGAACTTGACATAACAAATTACTATAAACTTGGTGGCATGTAACACAAATGTATACATCTTGGAGACCAGAAGTCTGAAATCATAACAGCAGTAGCAGTAGTTCCTTTAGAATCTCTGAGGGAGAATCTCTTCCATAACTCTCTCCTAGCTTCTGAGGCTAAAATCTTCAGCATAAAAGCATCTCTGTAATATTTGCATTTATCATAACATAGCATTCTTTTCTGCTGTCTTGGTATCTGGACTTCCTTCTTCTGTTATAAAAATAGTCATGAATTTAGTGTCCACTCTAATCCAATATGACCTGGTATTATCTTCAAGGACACTGTTACCTGATACAGTCCCATTCTGGAGTTCTGGCAGATATAAATTTTGAAAGACATTATTTAGTCTAGTACACCATTCATTATGAAGTATCTCCTGAAAATCAGTATGGTGTCTTTGTGGATTAGGTGATATTTTGTACAGATTGGCTTAAAAATGTATGGAACAGAGAGATGGCACTGCTAAGTTAACATGTTTGTTGGGATAGTCCTTAATATAACTCACACCTTTTTTGGTAATTTATTTATACTGTTAAGAAAAAGGTAGAGAGCTATGGATAGGAAAGACTTGGCAGACCCTCACTCTTCTCAATTCTAATTTGCATGTCTGTTTTTAATCTAGAGCCAAATAACTATCGGACCATGCATGGCCGGGCAGTAAATGGCAGCCAGTTGGGAAAGGATTACATCCAGCTGAAAAGCTTATTGCAACCCATCCGGATTTATTCCAGAGCCAGCTTATATGGCCCTAATATTGGGCGGCCCAGGAAGAACGTCATTGCTCTCCTAGATGGGTAGGTCAAATGATTTAGCTGTTCTTATGACACTGTTCATTAAATGTAATGAACCAAAGTATTTGTCTTTTTCCTGGATATTTTCAGAATTAAAAATAAAAGAAGAGCTTTTTGCATAATGGCTAGCCCCACTCTTAATTAGGAAATCTTCATCAAACTGTGGAAGAGTTTCTTCTTTCTTGAGACCTTCCATAGTCAGGACGGGATGGTGGTATCATGGAGGCATGCTACAATCTCTAGGATGGATTAGAGGGAATTCAATGTTTGAAAAATCAGATTTAATATTATAGCATTTCCCAAGACCCAGCCTTCCTATTCTGACAAGGAAAAACTGCAGACACTTACACTAAAATATTTGCCTCTAGCAGAGAATACCTGGATAGCAAATAAAATGCCCAGGATATAAACTGGCAGAAAAGCTGAGAAGACTGTAAGTGGTTTTAAAGGCTTCTAAAAACCATACATTCTCAATGGAAGATAACAGTAATGAAATTGCCTGGTGACTCAGAAAAATGGGTATAGACATTCTCTAGCTTCAGAAACTCCTATTGATGAACTATGGAATTTCATAAGTTCTAAAGCAGTAAGCTGCACAAACTTATATGCCCTTGGTTATATGCCTTTAGTGGAGAGATTTTATAAGTATCAGGAAATAGTAAAACAAGTAGAAACAAGATTTTTTGAAGTCAATAAAACTTTAAATGTGAAAAAATATTACAGCATCTCATAGCATCATTGTACATTTTAAAAGTAAAAATAATTATTCTATTCCAGTAAACCTCTTATAGAAACTAAAACTAGACAAAATCTTGGCCAACAAATCTGGATTTAAAAGTTAAGAAACCTGACATGTATTTGTACATTAAGCCACAGTTTAACTGATAGATTTATTATCAGATATTCTGGAAAACTGCCACCATTTTAATATTGGCCAAATCTGCCAATCATCTTGTAAGCACTGCCATCAGTGGGAAAGCTGGACTTCAATGTTTTCTGCCCTAATTCCGGTGGTGATCCAGCCTCAAAGTAGATAATTGACACACCCATGCAAGCAAGGACAAGTTATACAGGATCGGAAGAAATGACATACTATGAATTTGTTGCCAGTAAAGAAGTAGAGTTACAGTCCCAAGGAGCCACGGTGGTGTGAGAAAAGCTGAAGATAGATACATGTTGATTTCTAGCTCCAAAGTGAAGATGTAACTGGATCAGGAAAGGTAGGAACAATAAGGTTAGGAAATTCAGAAGTTCTTCTGGAATACAGCACTGTGTGTACCAAGGCACACATTTTGTGTGTCATAGTCCAGAAAAAAATGGTTATTCTTACAAAATGAGTTAGAAGTTTTCAGTAAAGTACATTAAACAAGTGATGTTAGAAAAATGCCAAAGAAGCATAAACAGAGATATACAAGGAAAAGGAAACATTTGTTTCCTCAATGGGCTTTGTGGCTTGGTGACCCTAATGACTCCTCCCTTTTCCAGTTGTTAATCTTGATATAAGTTTATGAACATAGCAGATATATTGAAGGTTTGGAAAATCAAATAGATTTACATTGAAAGCAAGTATAACCTCAAATTAAATTTCCTCTTTCTCTCTCTCTCTCTCCCCTCTTCTCCTTCTCTCTCTCCAGCTGTCCTGCCCCTACCATATTTGTTCCAACACTATTCATTTTTCTCCTCTGTCTCAGTAGCATCTTCCCACTTCTAATGTGTTCTCATCTTCTGCACTGACCCCCTTGAAGGCCCAGCCCTGTCTGGCTACTTAGAATATTTCTACCTAACTTACTTCTCCATAATGTTACATCATCTGAAGATGTACCCCTACCTGCTGTGATAGGGAAGGGGCAATGACTATTCTAGCTACTTATGGCTGAAAGGAGTCATAGTTGTGATCAGCAGTCACATACTCTCCAGAGGGTCTATTTAAAGGCCTTGATAGATGCCAGTTTTTCTCTTCTTGGGTAGGCATATAGCTTTAAGTCTGGAGGAAACAAGGCCAAAGAAACAGTTAAGTATGCGTGGACCAAATAATAAGATCAAAAAGACTATTATGAGTACAATTAACAAATGTTTTCACCAGGAAGAGCCAGTAATAGTCTCCCACAAAGAGGGTAAGGAGAAAGTCCAGGAAATTTCAGCATCTGACCTGACCTTAACCTGTTGTTTAATATCTTAAATTGCCTTCCAGATATTAGCAGAAGAATCAGGAGGGTACATACAACATTCAGTTTTTACAATTGCACGAGTACTCCCTTGTGGGTTTTTGGGTTGTTTCCTTTTGTTTTGTTTTATTTTGTTGGTTCTGTAAGGAAAAGCCTCAACCCAGTTTGTGAAAGTGTCTATCCAGACCAATAGATATTGAAACCCTTTACTCTGGCATAGGAGTAAAATCAAGTTGCCACTCTTCACCAGGGTATTTACCATGTCTCTAGATATCTGGAGGGACTATGGTCCAGTTAAAAAGGATTGTTCTGTTGGTAGGGCTCGTATTTCTTAAATATCTGTTGCATTGTCTGAGAAAGTCACTTTCCTACGAATAATTTTGAGGCCAACTTATGGGTCTTATCTTTCCTCAAATGAAAGATTTGGTATAAATACTTAATAATTTTCCATAAACTAGCACCAGGAAAGAACAATTTACCATCATATAGACTGAAACAGTGTCCTCGTGGTAGGCTCAGTGCTGAGGCATGCCGAAATGCTTCTTTAAACTTCTGGAATGCAGTTTGGGAATCTGGCTCTTGGGCTAAAATATAGGCATCTGTCTTTTTGGGCTTCCTTTATAAGCTGACAGAGGGTCATGTAATCTCACCATACCCTTCTCTCCAAAGGGGACAAAAGCCTGTAATTCCTAGGAATCCCCTTAGCTTTTAGGGCCTTGGGATATGGGAAGGAAAGTATTAGTTTAATTGTCCCTTCCCCTAGGTTTCAGGTTCCCTTAGATATGATAAGGCCCAAGTAATTTTCAAAGTTCTGCCTAACACCTAGAGACCATACAACCTATGCTAGGAAATTCAGCAGACAATTTGCAGTGTAATATCCATTGGTGAACCTACAATCCTGCCTAGTGACACTATGTATTATCTCTAATGTTATTTTAAATTATTATTCTCTTAGTCACTTTAATAATTTGATCAATCTTCTATTCTTACATCTGGTAATCTGAGCAACTTCGTTGAAGATAACAACCAATGTTAATCTCTATCATTTGGTTTGAAACTCAGTATCATTTTTAATGTCCTTGCTTTGTGTTATCTGTATTTTCCTATTGTTCTTTTTTTGTATTATTTTCTTTAAAATAAAAAAAGTAAAAAAGAAGAAAATTCAGCAGAGTTTGGTTGCCTTCGCTACAGAGCTTTTCTGAGTTGGCACATGATAGTATATCATCTACATATTTCAGGACTGTGATTTGGGAAAATTCAAAACTTGCCAAGTCATAGGAAAGCACTCACTCAAAAAGATGAGCACTGTCTCTGAATTCTTGAGGAAGCATAGTCCAAGTCAGTTGAGAGGCCTGGTCAAGAGGATTTTCCAAGGAAAAAGGAAACTAGTAATCTGTATCTAATGGAATACTAAAGAAGGATTTTTTTTTTATATCTAGCATGGAAAATCAGCTGGCATCTTCCAGGATCTGAGAAAGGAGAGTGTATGGGTTAGGTATCACTGGATGGATTGCCACTACTGCCACATTTACCAATCTAAAGTCTTGTACCAACCTTCACTCTCCATCAGGTTTTTGAACTCCCTAGAGTGAAGTGTTGCAGGAGTTATTACATGGTATAAGTAAACCTTCTGCCCTTAAGTTGCTGATTATAGGCAACAGTCTTCTTTTAACTTCAGGCCTTAGAGGGTATTGTCTTTTGAGGAAAAATAGCATCTTTGAGGTGTATTTGCACTGGGGCAGCTCTTCTTGCTCTTCCTATTTTACCTTTAGTTGCCCATACTTCAGGATTTATTTCTGTCTCCATGAGAGGGAGGCAGTGTACCTGACCTGGGTGCAGGTGTGTTATAGTATTCAATCAAGATAAGATATCTCTCCACAGAAGGAGAACTCGACTTTCAGGCATAATCAAAAATGAATAGTAGAAGAGAAATCCATCCCCGTTATAGCCTAAGGGTTGTGACAAATAGTGAGTTAATTCTTCTCTAGTGTATCTTTTCCCTGAAGTATGACAGCTGGAAGGAAAGCCAGCATTGAAAAGAATAAAGAGACATGCGCCTGTGTCCAGCAATAAGCTGGTTTATTTTCCCTTTATAGTCATGATTACCCAGGTCTTCTCCTTGGAGATGACAGTCAAACCAAGGGGAAAAGGCAGAGTGCCTGAGGATCCTTCAGTCTTGCTGGACCAACCAGTTCAATAGGTCTGACCCTTGGGACCTTCATCTCAGAGGACAGTTCAACTTCCAGTGGTCACCTTTGCAATTAGGGCACGGCTCAGGGGGCCTCCTTTATGATGGATTTATCACACCCCCTCCTAAAGAGGCCTGAATTTTCATTGCAGTAACAGGTAAGTTTAATCATTGAACTCTTCTTGGAGTCCTGAGAATAAGATGTAAAGTCTGTTCCTTTTAAAATTGCAACCAAGGCAGCCATTTTCTCTTGGACTTTTTGTTTTTTCCCTTTGGCTTCCTCCTGGTCTCAATTATAAAATACTGAAGAGGCTATTCTCACTAAAGTATAAAGTGAGCTATGGGGATCAAAAGCCATCTTTGTATCTTTTTTCTAATATCTGAAGCTAACTTGGTAATAATTTCTTCTAATATCTGAAGCTAACCTGTATTTAGGAATAATTTGTCTTTCTATGAATCAAGAGCAAGGGATGTATGTTGTATTAATGCCTCTTATAAATGACCTAAAAAGACAGAGAGGTTCTCATCTTTCTCCTGATGAATAATTGACAGATGAAAAAAATTGAAGGATCTAGTTCTTGTCCTTCCTAGACCTTCAAAAATACATGCCTGAAGATATTTCCTATTCCAGTCTCCCATCTGGTTGGTAG